CCCCAAAACCCCAAAACCCCAAAACCCCAAACATCAAATTTCATTGAGTTATACAGCTAATTGAGTTTAATTATAAATTTAGTAACAAGAGGAAGAGATTTATTTTAAATGAACAATAACAAGCATAGATTTACACTTCATACTAAGGGATTAATGATGTAAGCTAACTCAGGCCTTAATAAATAAGCATTAAACCCAAAATTTCAAGCCGATAGTCCTAAGATATTAAACTCAATGAAAATAAGTCAAAACCTAGGAGATCTAGGAACAGGAAAATCAAAGTTTAGATTTTCAAGTCAACTCTCGAAAGGTAAATCATCCTAAGGTAGTCCTGAGAAAGTAGTTGCAAAGCCAATCTTAGATCCAGATTAATAGGTATTACTTAGAGAGCAAAGAAGACAATCTAATTTAGTTAGTAGGGAACAAGGTTGAAGGAACAGTCTTGTTTAAATGCCAAATATATTTTCTCCAAACATGCCAACGAGTAAATTCAAGAATTTTGATAACGAGGTTGGAAGCATACTTTTAAATTAAAATGAGGGCGGTTAAGCACACAATGGGAACATGCCGGGTATCAATACCAGTTCTTAGCATGATCTTATAAACTCTTTTGAGTATGGCAGCATCAAGAATTATATTGAGAATCAGTAAAAAAGAAGACTATAGTAATTGACAAAGGATTAGTTTTTAAATCTAAACTATCATAAGAGGAAATCAATTATCCAAAAGAAACTAGATGAAAAATAAAATGAGATCGTCAACGATCAAACCATGAGTTTCTTTATTAAGAAGTGTTTCAGTGGAAATATAACTCCTAAAAAGGTGACTAGAGATGAAGATGGGTAAATTAGCTATATTCCTACTGTCTCTCCCTTGTTAGGTCATAAAAAATCATCTGTGCCATTCATAGAAGAGTAATTTCATTAGAAGCTGCTAAAGTTTAATTACCCTCAGATTTTTACTAAAAATTTTAGAGCGAAAGAACTAGATAAATCTTTTGAAAAACTATCAATGCCTTAAAAGTATTAATTATTAGAAAGTGTCATAAATTATCTTGACCAGGATTTTATGGAATTAAGAGATTAGAACGAGGTTTCAAGAAAAGAATTTGTTAAGAAGATGCAAGAAGAAAGATTAAGACAGCTCTATAAGAAAAGAGATCCTTCACCCTCTGATGTTCTCGTTCCAATAAAGTAAATGAAAAAGAGAAACATAAATCAGAGCGGAAGTTTATCAGTAATCAAAAGAAAAAATAATACATTCTTTCTCCAGAGAGACTTAGGTTTTGATGGAAAAAATAATGATAGGTTTATGGATGATGGTAGAATAGCTCATCATAGGAGTAAAGCTATGGCTAGTTGACATTACTAAGTTTCTCACTCTCCTGAATGTCTATAATTTTTATTTCATAATTACTAATATCATAAGTATTATCAGATGAACGGGGTTTTGGGGTTTTGGGGTTTTGGGG